ATTTGTGAGGAAAACACGAATGGATGAAGGAGGTTCATCTAAGGAGGCTAGATTTTGCTGACAATGTGTGTGTAGATGCCCTTTTGAGTGTTCCTGAGAAGCCAACGTCGCCGTATTACTGGCATACCAGCGAGAGATCCAGCTCGGCTGTGGCGAAGCGTCCGAGGAGACGGAAATCGACGATGCCGTCCGAGAGGCAGGTTAAACGGGTCGTGTGAGGCGCGAAATAGGATTGTCAATACAGGAGGGCCAGATATTTACACCGTCCTTATTCCTCCAAAGCACACACGCAAGCAGGGGACTATTCAGAAACAAGAAAACAGGACATGGGAGAGAAGACGAGGCTTGTATTGTTTCAAAGTCTAGTTCTATCATAAATCGCGTTACCCCTATACACCCTGTCTTTTCTTTTCTTACAAGATCCTGCAGAAGGGTTGGATTTTTCCCTTTTACGTCCAGGCTTTTCTACAAAAAAGATTCCTGACGTGACATTAGATATACATGTTTACATACGTCCGCCCAAATAGGCGACGTACGAGCCCCCCTCCGTTCCGGTTCAATCGATGTGGCTCAGGGATTCGCGGACGGCGAGAGGAGGGGGCTTCGATGTTGATACACGGGTGGCATTTGGGTGCCATGGTTTTGTCACCACATTTCCGGATGCAAAGATGCTCCCCCCAAAAGAAAGAGGGGAAGGTTCTTGATCAGTGACTTATTTGGTGCGCTTGGCCTCCAACTCCTTCTGGTAGTTGGCGCAGAGCTCCTTTCTGTAGTGGTTGTTAGTAATTTTTAACCAGAGTAATGTCAAGGGGGGTCAACGTACTGAAGGTGAGGAGGAGCGGCGGCGTAATGGCTAAACTCCATACCAAACTCGCCCTTGCCCTGAGTCGCGGCGCGGAGCTGGGAGCTGAAGCCGAACATGGCGTTGAGACTGCAGTCGGCGATGAGCGTGAAATCCTCGGTGCCGACCTCGGTGTCGTGGATGGTGGCGTTGCGCTTGTTCATGAGCATAATGATGTTACCCTGGAACTCGTTGGGCGCGGTGATGGTGGTCTTCATGAGGGGCTCGAGGACCTGGCCGCCGGCGTCGTCAAAGGCCTTGCGGAAGGCCATTTGCGTGGCGAGGTTGAATGCGAAATCGGAGGAATCCGTGACGTGGGTGGAGCCGTCGTTGACAATCATCTTCGTGCCGATAACCTTGTGGCCGAGGAGGGGGCCCTTGAGGGCGGCCTCTTCGAAGCCCTTGGAGCAGGCGGTGAGGTACTTGTCCGGGATGGTGCCGCCGACGACCTGGGTCTCGAAGAAGTTGGCCTCCGGGTCGTCGTGGGGCTCGATCCAGCCGGCGACGCGGGCGTAGTCTCCGGGACCGCCGGATTGTCTACGGAGGAGGAAGTCGTACTCGGTCTTGCGGGAGACGGTCTCGCGGTAGGCGACGCGGGGCTTTCCGGTTTCGCAGTCGACCTTGTACTCGCGGCGGAGGCGCTCAACGTAGATTTCGAGGTGGAGCTCGCCCATACCGGAGATGATAGTCTCCTCGGACTCCTCGTCGACGTGCAGGCGGAAGGTAGGGTCCTCGCGCTGGAAGCGGTTCATGGCCTTTGAGAAGTTGTCGGCGTCGCTGGTACGCTTGGGCTTGATCGAGAGGGACATGACGGCGTCGGGGACGAACATGGAGGACATTGTGTAGGGGAGGCCACCGTCGGTGAAGGTGTCGCCCGAGGCGCAGTCGACGCCGAAGACGGCGCAGATCTCGCCGGCGCCGACCTCGTTGACGTCCTCCATCTCGTTGGAGTGCATGCGGACGATGCGGGGGATGCGGACCTTCTTGTCGGTGCGGGAGTTGAAGAGGTAGGTGCCCTTGCGGAGCTTGCCCTGGTAAACGCGGATGTAGGTGAGCTGACCGTAGTTGTTCTCCTCGAGCTTGAAGGCGAGGCCGACAAAGGGGAGCGAGTTGTAAGGGACGAGCTTGACCGTGGCCTCGTCGCGCTTCTTGTCGAGGGCCTTGTTCTCGACCTCGGACGGGTTGGGCAGGTAGTCGCAGACGGCGTCCAAGACGGTCTGGATGCCTTTGTCGGCAAGGGCGGAACCCATCATGACGGGGGAGAACTTAAGGGCGATTGTGGAGCGGCGGATGGCAGCCTTGATCTGGGCGTTGGTGGGCGTCTGTTCCTCGAGGTAGAGCTCCGTCATTTCGTCGTCGACGTCGGCCAGCTTCTCGATGAGCTCCTGGCGCTTCTCCTCGACGAGGTCCTTGTAGCCTCCGGGGAGGACGTCGGTGGTGCGGACAACGGTGCCACGGGGGCCCTCGAAGTAGTGTGCCTTTCGCTCAATCAGGTCGATGACGCCCTCGAATTCGTTCTCGGCGCCAATGGGAATCTGGATGGCGGCCGCGGGGATCTTGAGCTTGGTGTTGATCTGCTCGACGGCCTTCCAGGGGTTGGCACCCATGCGGTCCATCTTGTTCACGAAACTGATGCGGGGGACGTTGTAGCGCTTCATCTGACGGTCGACGGTGATGGTCTGGGACTGGACGCCGCTGACGGCGCAGAGAATCATGACGGCACCGTCGAGGACGCGGAGTGCGCGCTCAACCTCGATGGTGAAGTCAATATGGCCGGGTGTATCGATGATGTTGATGTGGTAGGTTTCCTCTTTTCCTTCTTCCGTCTTCTTCCAGTCGGCGAAGGTAGCAGCCGACTGGATGGTGATGCCCTTTTCTCTTTCGAGATCCATAGAGTCCATCTTGGCGCCGACAGAGTCCTTGCCTCGAACCTCGTGGATGGCCTTGATGCGGCCCGAGTAGAAGAGCACGCGCTCGGTGACGGTCGTCTTTCCGCTGTCAATGTGAGCGGCGATACCAATGTTGCGCACGCGCGACAGGCGCTTGGCCTCCTCGGGGCTCATCTTTGCAGCGACCAGCTCGGGGGTGAGGGTGGAGGCGTTGTCCTGGGCCATCTTGAGGGCCTCGGCGGCGGCGTCCCTGACCATCGGGGTCGTCGAGAAGGCGCGCACGGGGTTCTTCTTCCATGTCGTCGTTGTCGTCGGGGACTGCTTCTTTACGCAGGCGGCGAAGCTGCTAAAGTGTCGTGCATCGGCTTGAGGCTTGACGCCTGCAAGCAGACCGCCATTCGGCACTCTGACGGCTCGTGGAGCCCTCATCGTGACCAATGTGTGTGCGGACGAAGAGAAGGGGAAGGGGAGAGGATGGGAATATGCAATGGGGAAAGATACTACAGGAAAAGGGAGCCGGGATCCATTCTGGACAAATGGTCTGATACGGGGCTCATCTTTTTTTTTTTTTTCTCCGCCTTGCTGTCTTCCAATTGCCCAGGCGAAACTTTTTTTTCTTAGGGGACGGGAGTGACAGGGATTCCGATTTCGCGCCGTCGCGGAGGCACGTGTTTTCGTGGATGAGTGGGTCTTCAGTCCGGCAGTGGACGAATCGCGGCATCGGGATTACCTACGCCGGCCGGTTCAACGGGTAATCGCCGGAAGTGGAGGCCGGAGCATGGCCGTTGTGCTTTATCTAACACTTATGTCTCTATACTAAATCAAAAATCTGAGTAAGTGAGCAGTACACAGTTGTGATGTTCTAGGTGAGTTGGCATGATGGCATGGCTTCTGGAAAGTGCACATCTTTATATGACGCAGACCTGGCCGTCAGAGCTCCAAGCTTGGGCAAAATGATGGCACAGCATTTGGGTTCAATTCGGAGCATCAGACGAGATAGACTTATGAGCGTATTCTGCCCAAAGATGAGCTTGAAGCTTCTTTTTTGGTTGACATTCTTCCTCAATAATAAACGCTATCTTGTGCCCCCGAGTATCCGTCTTTTGCCAAAACGCCAATAGATTTGCCAAAATAACCATCCCTCTACCCAACCAAACGCCCTTCAGTCACACCCAACTCAAATCCAATGGTCATCCAAAGCCCGGTTCTTGTCGAGGTAGTCGTACACCTGCTTGTAGTCCTTGCAGACGTGCTTCGCATCCCATCCATCGCTACCCGTAAACCCAGGCGGGAACGTCGTCTGCGTGCCCTCCAGCGCGACATCGCCAGCGCACATGATGGCCTATTTCAGCTAAAATTAGTTCCCTATCCACCAGAAATATTTCGAGGGAGAAACGAAAAGATCACTACTAACCTGTCGCAGATACTCAAAACAATGCTGCAAATGCCACGGCCCCTCCGCGCCCTCCGTGCCCTCGGGGATATGCGAGTGCATATCGACGTTGGCGCTGCCGTTGACGGCCATGCCCGCGTAGCTCTCGAGGATGGCATACAGGCAGTGCAGCTGGTGCGTCATCGATGTCGTAAAAACGGTGCGCGGGGCGAACTCGGGTAACGGCACGGGGAGGTTGTCGTGGGCCTTTGGGTCCTTGACCTCGAGATAACCCAGGCCCTTGGGCACGATGGAGAGCCACTGCTCCTGGAGGGTTGCGTTTGTGAAGAGGGCTTCTGGGTCGTCGGGGACGAAGTCTGTTGTAGGGTGGAAGGTTGTGATTTGCTGCGAGACTGTTGCATCATGTTGTTAGTTTTGGTATGTTTTTTTGTAGGTGTTAGTTGTGTGAGAAGTTCTGGCGTACATTTGGGTGCGAATCCTGTGAGATCTCCGACGGGCTCGAGACGCTTGTCTGGTGTGCTGGTTGTTTGGAGGCCCCTTCGTTCAAGGAGCAGGCCGACGATGACGACGAGGAGAAAGGTGTCGAGCAGCCAGCGCCAGCGTCGGAAGAGGTTCCGGGTCCTTGCGCATCGATTCGCTCGTGATGATGGTGAGCATCTGCCGTCTTCAATGTCTGCCCGCTTCCACGGCTTGCCCTCGTCGCTTAGGAGCGACACGCTGACGTCGGTCATGGCATCGTCGGTGATGTCTGCCTCTCGACGGGCGTCGGAGTAGGGTGAATTGCTGGGCTTCATGGCGCCAGCTCTGGTTCTCGGGGGGTTTGTGACGAGAAAGGGAATTATATGAGATACTCAAACGAGTAGATGGCAGGCAAATATGATGTTCCTGAGTACTCGAGGTTTGCAATGTCAAGGACTATGTACAGAATCTGCCCAGCAGAATGTCATGTCTACGAGTGCCTCAGCCTACGTTGCTAACTATGGGAAGGGGGCGACTGTGCGACCTCACCCGCCGCCCTTGCATTCTGGGTTTTGAAACACCACCATCTCCATGGAGCCCTTGGGCTGATGTCGAGGGCGGCGGCGCATGCCTCATTGAGTGGTTGCGCGGCGCGTTGGATGATTTGAAAGGAGCTCCGACACTTTGTGTATGAGGTGAGCGGAGCGCGGGAGGATGTTTGGGACCGTGCAGGGCTGCAGGCTGCATCAATGATGAGTTGGGGTGGTCAGGGTCGGGGTCAGGGGATTTTCCAACAGACGGGGGATCGTTTGGTGGTTGTTTGTATGGCGCATTCATCATCTTTGATTGTTTTGTCACCTTGAAAACTTGAAGCTGTATTGAAAACGAGATTTCGGTGTGCAAGTGGGATGCCGCCAAGGTTTTGACGAATTGACCACTCTCGACCCCTTTTGGTGAGAGTTTCTGTCAACACCGGCAAACATTTTTGTCAGCCAAACTCAGGCTTACATCGCACGACGAAGTGCTTCTTCAAGTCCTAAAGGCCGATATGTAGAGTATGTGCTCGAGGATCACGCGCCCCAGGCTTGAAAAGGGCAACTTGAAGTCTTTGTAGGTGAATTTCGTCTGCAGCGTTCTGTAAGGATGAGACCCATACACAGAGGTTTCTCCTCAAATTGGGTGCAGTTGACAAAGTTTATCAACACAAGTACGACGGAAGTAAAAAACGGAAAGAGGAGCAAAAAAATGCATCATGGTGTGATGTAGAATCGCCAAAATGATAACTGTGAGATTCGAACTCACGCCTCTTGCGAGACCAGAATGCTCATCCGTTGGACGGATGAAGCTTTTGAAGCTTGAGTCTGGCGCCTTAGACCGCTCGGCCAAGTTACCTATTGATGTCTCAGCGGGCCAAAAAGCACCTTAAGATGCTAGCGTACAGTCTGCTGTAACTTGTGGTCCTGAGTCGGGGGTGCAAAAGCTAAGCCGCTGATAAGCCGCTCGCAGAAATAAGCTCTTGTTTGACTTTCGGGATCGACAAACTTTTATCCAAACCATGACCATTACGGCGTTATTCATATCATCGTCCCATCACGGAAAGCGACTTTCATTGAATGTCTCCATATGTAAGCCTTTCTTCACCAAGCCCAACATCTGATGCTGACCGCCCTTATCTCGGATCCAAAGTCCATCCATGAAGGAAATGGTCCATCCTTCGGAGTGGATCACCGGCCTCGGCGATCGCGCAAGCGCCGAGATGGACCAAGGGGAAAAAATGTCTGGCCCTGACTCTTGAATCTGACAGGAATCGGGCCGCTATCGTCGTCGACCAAAATCATTCCACTTTCCTCTTGGTATCGACGTATCGTGGACTCGTGGAGCACAGAACCCCCCGGTGGGATTCAGAACAGCGGAGACGGCTCCAGAGCGGGAGTTGATATCGGCAATCTCATTCTTTCTCTGTTGTTGCAAGTTGTAACTGTAGATGCTTTTCTTCTCTTTTGAATGTCGTTTCTGGGTTGATTTTTAACAGGTCTAGACGAATATGCTGCTTCTCATATCGGTGACAACAGCATCATTCACCAGATACACCCGTCCAGCGACGAGTCTATACCATCTCAGAACATCAACACCATGCACTACCACCGCGTACTTAGACTTCAAGAGCCTTACCGGCCTCAACATGAACAGCAAAGCAACGCTTGATGAGCTGTCCCATCGCAAGCGCCCTGCCGCCAACCAGCAGTCTAGTGTTGGCCGGACTCATCCGTTCGGCACCACGCGCCGATTCCACCCACCACCACTTCCCGCCTGCCTGCCTGCCGCCCTATCGGGACCCCAGTGGCGGCGGAGCCTTTGATAGCTTTTTTTTTTTTCCTCTGGAAGTGTTCTTCTCCTTTTTCCCCTGTCGGCACCCTTCCAATCTGGACCCAACACCAAGGATGGTGTACGAAAGAGTGGACCTCGGTGGTGCAATGAGCGGTCTCCATTTTCAGCCTCTTTCGAGCCAAGTTTATATCCGGTCAAGGGGTCTTGTCTGGTCTGACTATGGTCTAGTCCACTTGTGACGGCCCGCCACGCAGCTCTCTCGCATTCATTCTTTTACTCCTTTTGCCGTCACTGCTACCCGATGGGATTTTTAATCCATACCGCATGTTTTCTTCCTTTCTCTTGGTGCTGCTTGTTCTTCATTTGAGTTTCTCGGCTTGGAACCACCGTAAGGCCATCGTCGGCGATTTCCCACCATCCATGATCGCATGATGCAAGGGCTTACACTCATACTTAATGTCTAATCTATCCTGAAAGACGCTCTCCCTCACACTCGTGTCGTAATCGCGCGCCGCAACTTGCAGACCAAAAAATCGCCACCCAACGTTGCAATAACTAGTCGGTCCGCCAAGAAGTACTTGAGCAACCTTCTCATCGAACCAAGGATATCAAACAAGATATACCTGTCTGAACAGCAACAAACAAAACAGACACAGCACAGATCACACCACAATGACCGTCCGAGACACAGACACCATGACCGAAAAGTCCGGCTCCGTCCCGGACCTTCGCTCAACAACCCCCTCCGAAACAACCCTCACGCCCGCAGCCCCCGCCGACCCGGAACCCCAAGCAACCCCCGCGGCCGGCGCCGAGCCCCTAACAACGTCCACCCCGGGCCCCGTCCCAGACGGCGGCCTCGAAGCCTGGATCCAAGTCCTCGGCTCCTGGGTTATCCTCGCCGACACATGGGGCCTCGTTAACACCTTTGGCGTCTACCAGACCTACTACGAGCGCACCCTCCCCGGCGTTACCCCCTCCGCCATCTCCTGGATCGGATCCCTCCAGGGCGCCCTCCTCATGATGGTCGGCCCCATCTCGGGTCCCTTGTACGACGCAGGCTACTTCCGCGAGCTCCTCTGGGCGGGCATCACCCTCATCATCCTAGGCATGTTCATGACCTCCCTCTGCACAACCTACTGGCAAGTCCTCCTCGCGCAGGGCGTCTGCGTAGGCCTGGGCTGCGGCCTCGTCTTCCTCCCTTCCACCGCGATCCTGAGCCAATACTTCCACCGCCGCCGCGCCCTCGTCATCGGTCTCGCGGCAACGGGCTCTCCGATCGCGGGCATGTGCTTCCCCATCCTCTTCGGCCACCTCGAGCCCCGTATCGGCTTCGGCTGGGCCACGCGCATCATGGCTTTCATTCTCCTGGGATTGTCCGTCATCCCCGCCGTGAGCATGCATACCCGCCTACCGCCGTCGGGCCACAAGCGCTCCCTCGTCGACCGCACCGCGCTGCGCGACCCGGCCTTCATGCTCGTCATGGCGGGCTCGTTTGTCGGGTTCCTGGCCATGTACGTGCCGTACTTTTACATCCAGCTCTTCGCCGTCAGCCACGACATCGGCCCCGCAAACTTTTCTTCCTACTTTGTCACGCTGCTGAGCGCGGGGAGCATCCCGGGCCGCGTGATCCCGAATTACCTCGCGGATAAGGTCGGCGCGTTGTACATGCAAATCTCGGTCGCCGCGGGGTCGGCCGTGCTTATGTTTGCGTGGCTCGGCATCCGCAACATGGCGGGTCTCGTCGTCTTTGCGATCCTGTATGGGTTGTTCTCCGGAGGCATGGTGAGCATTTCGCCGACGGTGATTGTGAGCTTATCGCCTGACCTCGGCCGCGTCGGCACGCGCATGGGCATGATTAACTTTGTGGCGGGCATTGCCATCTTGATCGGTACGCCGATTGCCGGTGCCATTCTGGGTGACTATAGCGGTGTTGCGTGGCAGTCCATGATCGGGTATGGAGCGGCGGCGTTGACGATTGGGTCGATGGTGCTTACTGCGGCGAAGATCTTTCAGTTGAAGGGGGAGGGGAGGGATGTGAAGGCTTGAGAGTCGCTGATGATGGTTGACGAGGTATAGATGGATAGATTTCTTGCAGTTAGACTATATACCCCCCTTTGCGAATAGATGAGATTTGTTACTTCTGGTCATTAACTTCTTCTCGATACTCACCTCGTCCACCACCACCCACAACCTACAACCGCAACGCTCCCCAACACCACAACCCATCTCACCAACCCTTTGATAATCTGCTCTTTCGCAAACTCATCAATTGCATCCCCATCATTCACTCTCGGAAACGGCACCCCAGGCACCGGCCTCCCCAACGCCTCACACAACGGCCCCCACCCCTCCTTAACATCATAAAACACCAACCTCTCCTCGTCCACAACCCTCCTCACCCAAGCTTGATGCAAATCCCACACCCGTCGCGTAGGGAGCACCCCGTCCCCTTCTTCTTCCGGGGGGAACAACTCCCCCCACCGACCATGGGGAATCGCATCGATATACCGCGGAAACCACCTCATCGTAGGCAGCCAAAACAGCGCAAACGACAGAAAGACCTGCAGGCTCCGCTGTCCCGTCTGCCGGATACTCCGCACCCACGCCTCCGGGTCGCGGACGGTACAGATGACCAGGGCGTCGGGGTGCAGCGCCGCGAGTTCCTCAGTGAAGAGCATTCCGGGGACGTCAACGACTGCCGCGAAGCCGTCATGGAAGTGGTTGCGGAGAGTGTCGAGGACGATTTTTTCGTCGGCGGCGGTGCGGATGGGCGTGTGGGAGAGGCAGGTAATCCAGGAGCGGATTTCAGATTCCGGGCCGCGGGTGAGTTGAGTGCCGCCGTGGTGGACGGGGGCACCGGCGGCTGCACCGCTTCCGCCGCCGTCGCTGTCGTCGTCAGAGAGGAGGATTTCGAGGGCTTTGGTGAGGGAGGCGGTTCCGGTGCGGGGGAGGCCTGCGCCGATTACTTGGAGGCGGGTACCGGGTTTCGGTTTGGAGGCTTCTTGGCCCATTGTTGCAGGTCTGGTGAATATCTTGATGTTTCAGGAAACCTGGTGTTGACGTGGTGTCTTGGTAGTAAGCTACTCACTCCATGATAAAAAAGGTGAAGGACAAAACGAGAGAAACCACATCATTAGATTCACTTCAAGTCAGTCTGTGAAGGGGGGAGGGGGATAATCAGCTGGACTGACTGCATGCAGATTTCTCTGCTGATGTCAGACCTGTCGTTGACAAGCTAGTTGCCGAAAGAGGGAATATCAAGTATCAAACTAAGTCGTCAGCCCCGTTGATAGTCATCACCAAACACCAGCTCGGTGTAGAAAGCGACCGATGGCGTTTCTTGGTAGATGACTTGGTGCGAGCCAAAGAGCTGCGGCCAGGCCAATGAGACTGCAAAAAGCATGCAAATCTTCTGTCTGCTTCATCATATCATGTTGAATATTGCTCTCTATGCTTTAGGACGCTCGTGGAAATCCTTTATTGCCAGGAGACAACGCTAGCTTTCTTTGGGGATTTCGAGGGATGAGACAGAGTAGAGAGTAGAGAGAAACCGAGACGTGATACCGTACTGGGGAGGATGAAGTTATTCGACATTATGTCTTCATTTACTCCCCGTCTGCACAATGAATGGCATTGCTTCAGCAACTGCTTCGATGATGACTAGTCTTGCAAATGAAGGACCCCATTGGTTTTGAACGCTTCTGCATTTCCAGCCGATGAAGCGGAACATGGAAGTGTAAGGTACAACCACGTCCAGATTATCGCGAAATGAACAAATAAATCCGATGAAAAAGAAAACAAGAAGAATCAGAAAGATAAGAGTAAGTTGGAAAGCCAGCAGCGATGGAAGATATCTTACCCGCCATAACGTCATGGACAAATCTCGTTCTCGCACCGCCGGGGCTGATCCTTCGCATCAAGTCATGCTCCGAGAACGAGAACGACAATGTAGATCCTCAATCGACAGATAATACCAAGATATGCGGATGACAAACTGCTCGTCACTCCAATGGTGTTCTCCTGCTCACTTGCAAAGAAAATGATTCATGATCGAACTCCAGCGTCGGAAGTTCGTCCTGCAGCTGTTATGGAGCCTCCTTTCCTAGCGGGGGACGAAGAACCGCGGTAGGGCGTAGGCTATGCAGCTGCCAGCGAGTAGTATCCAGCAGGGGAGCGCTCCGCCGTATCAAGGCAGTGGAGACGGTCTTGTTGCCCCGTATATTGATGTGTGGTGCTGATTCAGCCTCGGATCATGGCTTGGGCGGCAGCTTAGCAACGCTTACTTTGTCGTTTTGTGGCTTCTTCTTCCCGCGCGCGAAAAGATTCGCGGTGTGAATAGTGACAGCTGCCAGCTGTTGCCCGTGCCAAAGTTGGCAGACAAAAGTATTGTCGTACCTTGGGCCCGTGCTTTCTGCAGCTCCGATCCTCGATCCTCAATCTGTCGGCTCCGTCACCCGTGGCACGTAGCCGTGGCCGTACCTGTCAGCTTCGTGGGGGACGGCGGTGGCTCATTTGTCAGGTACTACTAATCTCGTCCTATGAGCTAGCTATTCGTACCTGGGCCAGGCCAGTACGTAGACATCTGTACTACACATTGGCTGATGAGGTTGAGATGAGCCTAGTCTCCCTTCACCGTCTCTCCATCTACTGGGTCAGGACATGTACATTCCACCTTGATGTCGTCCGTGATGGTTGATGTATGCCCCGGCGCAGAACTATTCAACGAGATTACAAATTCGACGAGTCGCTCTGGTTGTTTCCTTCAATCGAGGAATTCACAGCGCGCGCGCGCGCGAGTTGGTCATCACCAAAGCCTTACACTATGTTTGATGGCGGCAGGCCTTGGATCCGAGGCTCCTCCGCTCTTAATCCGTGATCCGAGAACCTCTAATTCCATCTGTACTCTACCTTACCAAGCTTACCCTGCAGTTCTCCCCCGAAGACCAGGATCTAGAAGCTCACTCCGTAGGCTAGCAAACAAGTGCCGTTCTGTCATGGCGTAACGACTTTTGGTGTCCTTACCTTATCGATGGGCATGGAAGGGATTGCCCGTGTATTTGGTAAGGCTTATGATAGCTTGAGCTGGGGTTGTTAAGCACTTATTCAGCACCCACACACCAACACTTTTGTCGCTTTCTCTCTCCGGCCCGCCCTGACCGTTTGCGAACTGCTGGCCGTGGTCTCCCCGGGTGTCACTACCTTACGTAGGTAGTATTGGATGCTGTGCAGATGAAGCAATGTAGCTTGACAGGGCTCGGATGAGGTAACGTACGCAGGTCACCACGGATAGTTGTCTGGGTGTTCTTTGGGATAGCTCGTTTGCGTCCCATCACACCCAACGCCAAAACATACCATGATCTTGAAGAGCCCGTCGCATTCCACCTCGCCCGCACCCGTTTGATGCTTAATCGGTCCTTCCGTCCGTTAACCGAACCTACGATGCCGTCTTCAAACTCGCGGACTGAACTCATCTCAAGGTACCTACGAGCAAGCAGCCTGGAAGATAAATGAAGTAAGGTACTTGTCACAATGATACCTACGGTCAACGGAAAGGACATGACCCCTCCCCTGCCCCTCAGTGGAGCACAGACCCGCAGAGAGGGGCAGACACCAGCAGTACGTACCGTTTCTGTCTAGCTCCCCACCTCGTCCTCACCACCTCATCTTCCACCTCTTCCAACTGCGTCCGTCGTCTTGCTGACTTCACCTTACATGAGCAGCCATGGCAGCATAGCACTCGTGTACGGATAGTCTCAATGGCTCTACTGTAGCTAATTCCCACTAGACCGATGAGCCTGATGAAACCGCATCGCCGTGCGGCCTGCCATGCCCTCCCCAAGGGTACCCGACTGGCCCAGCCCAACCCCATTCTGCATTCCTCCTCTCTTCCGAGTCCCATCGAGTCTTTCCAGTGGCTTTGCCCAGCCTAGCGTGCCATTGATGATGCAAGACGCCCGTCTCAGTCCCCTCTCTTTCCCATCTTTGCTTGTCACCTTGTCTCGTATGCGCGGCCGGGGTTGCGCGCGCCATGGCACCCAAGTTCACGTTGATATAAGACCACGGCCTCCCCCTCTTGTTGTGTAGATTATTACATTTAGCCTCTCTTTATTGAGCACCGATTCACTCTTCTCTTACCCTATCTCCATACAAGACATCAATCCGTCACAATGGCTCCCAAGATTGCCATCGTCTACGTAAGTCCACTATTTGCTACAATCTAACACTTCTTTCCTAATCGGGTAATTTCTTGTCACTTCCCCCTCCCCCACATAACCTTACTTCACCTCACTCTCCCACCACACACACCGCAGTCGCAATCATTGAGTGCTCCAAAGTCTCTGGCAATCCCGAAATCATCATTTCAGAGACGCAATGAAGATGATGACACACACGTTCCCACTCCATTCGGTTGCGCGGCTTCCTCTGCCGACGCCGTCAATGACACTATTATACGGGCGGTTTGCCCGCACGAGAGCGCCCTGAGCCAACCCCGCCTAACACCTCACATTGCTTCCCCAACCCCAAACTTCCGAAGAATAGCCCCCCTGACATTATGACCGTCCTACTAACACCACGATCTTCTAGTACTCCATGTACGGCCACATCCGCCAATTGGCCGAGGCCGAGAAGAAGGGCATTGAGAAGGCCGGCGGCACCGCCGACCTCTTCCAGTACGTCTCTCCCTTTCACACACACCTATACCTCACGACACGCCTACCTCGTACACACATACACACCAGCAGCAGGCCATGACTAACACACAACAGAGTCGCCGAGACCCTCCCCGAAGAAGTCCTCACCAAAATGGGCGCCCCCCCCAAAGCGACAGACGTCCCCGTCCTTGACGACCCCGCCACCCTCGAATCCTACGACGCCTTCCTCCTCGGCATCCCAACCCGCTACGGCAACTTCCCCGCCCAGTGGAAGGCCTTCTGGGACAAGTCCGGAAAGCAGTGGTCCACCGGCGGCTACTGGGGCAAGCTCGCCGGCCTCTTCATCTCCACCGCCTCCCTCGGCGGCGGCCAAGAGTCCACCGCCATCGCCGCCATGTCGACGTTCGCCCACCACGGCATCATCTACGTCCCCTTCGGCTATGCCAAGGCCTTCCCGCTCATGGCGGATCTGTCCGAGGTTCACGGTGGCGGCCCTTGGGGCGCGGGTACCTTTGCTGGTGCTGATGGATCCCGTCAGCCTTCGGCGAGGGAGCTGGAGATTGCTACGATCCAGGGCGAGGCGTTTTACCAGACTGTTGCCAAGCACGTCGGTTGACTGCATGGCAGCGAGAGCGCTGGTGCCGCCGTTGCCAACGGGGTGAACGGGTCCGAGAAGCCGGCGGCTGCTACCCCCGCTGTTCCGGCAAAGGAGCCGGCCCCGGCGACGGAGACCCGAAAGGCCCCTCAGGAATTGGACGACAAGGATGTCAAGGCCGGACCGTGCGGTCTGCCGAGCAAATGTGTCGTGCAATGAAGAATGGGGTTGTTTTTGCCATTGTGCTGTTTGAAATATCCTGAAAAGATAAAAAAGATAATAATGATACCTCACTTACTATTGATATACCTCAGATCACTCCATGAGATGACTGGCATCCTTGACTGCCTAATGCAGTTGGCACATTCTTCCACCAATTTCTAATCTCACAGTGACGGTAGGGGATAAACCATTCAGAGCATGACAACCCAAACGTTTTGATTCGATGGAGAACCGGGGAGCTCCCCAGACTGACAAAATTGAGTTCGAATCAAAACCTACAGCAGTCTTCCGTAGAATGCGGTACGGGAAGGAAAACTTGAAGGTCTAAGCTCGAAAAGAACTATTCACAAATAATGTTTTCGGACCACCCATCCATTCTCACGTTTCATACTCCGTACAGTAGTGTGAGGGTGTGAAAATGCCCAATTGACAAGCTGCAGCAGTACACTCTCGTGAGGCCAGATGTTAGTGATGAGATTTGGCCAAACCCCTGAAAAAGCCTCTACGATGTTTACTGCTCCGTGATTCGTTGGCTACATCTGTAATGTGAATTGTACCGAACCACCTCCCCAGCTGCTGAGGGATTAAGTTCACAATATCGTCGAACCAGTGCGTCTTGGCATCCCTGTCAGAAGAGGATGGACCATGGGACACTCACAGATCGGCCGTCATACTACGAATCTTCAATTCATCGAGCTCCACTATGATTGGCAGAGTGATGGTAGGGCATTGCACATTTTCACCGACGACGCAGACATTCGAGACTCACTCACTCATTGAAACGCGATTCCCATGTTGACCGATCTACTGTAAATAACGCCAGTGACCATGCACATTTTCGCCCCGTGCAGCACGCTCCCTAACAAGCCAGCAATAACAAAGTAATGTTTACATAGCCCACTTAGTGTCTGCCACCAAAGACAACGTTCTTGCTGTCGTGGACGTTGATCATGGTGTACTCGGCAAGGAGCGGGTCCTTGTTGCCCAAGTTCAGGGTGACGGCGAGCAGGTTGGGTTCGGTCCAGGTAGGGCGGAGACCACGGGACTCAAGACGCTCCCACCAGTCAAGGAAGTTAGAAGCAGTCATGCCGTTGAAGAAGTGAATCTCAATCATGAGCTGGCCAACAGGGAGCTCCTCGCCGGCGCGGATGGGGAAGTCCTCGCCGAAACCGTCCATGGCCTCGAATTCGGCGAACTCAATGTCCATCTTCAAGATGTCGCTGGTGCAGTGTTAGTGGATGATCGTTATTACTTCAGCGTAGAGGTAACGTACATATACTCGTGGCCGTTCATCTTCATCAGGTCGGCAATGCTGTAGAAGGGGGGCGTCTTGGTCTTATCCGTCTTGCCAGAGATACCGGCCTGGAGGAAGTGGGCTCTGGCACGGTTGCCAGGCTCGAGTTGCTCACCAAAGTCGACGACGGAGAAATCGTAGGCCCAGACAACACAGTTGGTGCGGCTCAGCATCTCGTTCTCTGGAGGTGCGTCATCAGTGATTGTTCAAATAAAGAGAGGAACAGGTGTTTGCCATATTGCATGCAAGGGACCCTTACCAAAGCTGGACTCATCGCGGACACCAAAGGAGTAGATGACACACTCGCGGTCTCTGGGGAAGTTGACATATCTCGACATGCCGCACACCCACTTGCCGCCGTCTCCCATACGTCCGACGCGCTCCATTTCGTGAGGGCAGCTGTACGAGGCCGGGGCAAAGTCCCAGACGGAGTAAGGGTGCTTTCCGTAGGCCGCAGGGTCGGTGGCAGGGAACCTGATGTGGGACATTGGTTAGCCATTTAATCTACGGTGGTAATTATCGGCGTTGAAACCATCTATTGAACATGGGCATGTGGCGGCAGGGAAACGGAAATGGCTTACAAAGGCATCAACGAGGCATCGCCGTAGTCCTCAGCAATCATGTCGTGACGCTGCTTGACAGTCTTGGCCCAAATGGACTCGGCAGTGGCCATGAACTCCTTCATGGTGTTGCGGCCGCCATCGTTATTCACGAGGGCGCCAACCTTGTTGCTGGCCCATTCCTTGGCCTTGTCAGGGCTGCCAAGGGAGTGCAGCAGAGCGAGGGTGAAGAGCAGACCGGCGGCGAGCCATAGCATCTGCACCATGCGCTTGGAGCCTGCAGCGAGGGCCATGGTTGCTGTCCGGAGGTTTTCTTCTGTGACGGGGGGTTCTGGAGATGTGTTGGAAATGCGGGTGTATAAGTCGATTCGCGGAGGCTCAGCTGTCACTCTGGCGGAAGTGGACAGAATCGACACGTAATCGAGGGGTACAGTATCGATGAAGGAACAACGATGAGCGTCACGGAGAAAGTGAATGAGAAGAACAAGAACCGCAATCAGCGCTGGTCAGCAGCCGGCGCGGGGAGAAGGGCAAGCCACGGGCGGACGGAGTGGACTTGCGCAGATCTCTCGAATAGTGCCAAGAGAGCGACTGGAAGAAGAAGAGTGAGGAGGCCAAGGAGATAAAGGGAAAGGAGACGAGTCACGCCAAGGATGGATGAAAACGTCAGGACGAGGACGAGGCGAGAGAAGAAAAAAGAGGAAGCTTGTAGACGACTACTTAAAGTTCCTTGGACTGGGCAGTCGTTGGTCCTGTGATGGGACAGAGGGACCGGAACATTGTGTGAATGGAAGGGGAGGGGTGGCGGCCAGGTTCCTCCCTCGAGACCTCCAGACCCTTGCGGATCTCGAGATTCAAAGGTGGAAGGTAGATACGAGACTGCACTTGCACTTGCCTGCACTGCATGACTGCCCCGACTGCCCTGAGTGACTTGCCATGATGTTCCAGCACGTTGAGTGTGGCATTCTCGAGGCAGGAACGGGCAGGAACGGGCAGGGAGCCAAGGTGTGTGTCTCTGCCTCCCTTCCTTGCGACTTGCGAGGGATTTGGGTTCATACCTTGGAGAGGAAAGGAGTTACATTGTTCGCTCATTCCTTGGGTGCCATTGGAAGGAACTCTGAAGTGTGGAAGAGATGGCACTTGAGAAGGTACCTCAAGAACAGCCTAGAAAAGATGGCAAGTGCCACAGATGTGCGCCTCCCCAGGAGCCAAAGTGCACCTTGCTAGTTTGTACCTTTTCTCGCCTTGTATCGGTGGAGGCACTGAAGAGCACACTTCTTGCTATGTCCGAGATAGATTTAGTACTGCACCGAAACATGTCGTGTTTGGCGTCGAGGGTGGGGTACCCAGCCAAGCCCAGAGTATCTAACTGATTGACTAGCCTCAAAGTGGATGATGCACTTGGGAAGGAAGCATCTTATTCTTGGCTGCTATCATTCGAATGGCCAAGGGCAGGTGCCGACTGGCAGCTGCATGGATGGGAAAGTGCCGTTCTGTCGGGTGCACGTGACGCAGTTCGGTCAATTGAGGGACTCCGTCTGCATTTAGAGTTCAAAAACTGGGACGGGAAAGCACGAAGGCAGCATAGAACAGTGGAGGTTGAGGTGCGGGATGCCGAGGAACAGGAGAAGGTGGGCGATCAATTGCCATCCAAAACCAAATTATCAGTCAGGCACTTTCTTTCCCATCGGTACCTATCTCTGTCGATTTGTCTCAAACTCCAAAGTGTCCTCTTCTGTACCAGGTAGTCGCGAAAGCTGAACTGACGAGAAAATGCGTTTTTATTCTCCTGCATTAGAATGGCATTCAGGTCCGACGGTGGCGTCCAATAAAGCCTCGCTATTGCTCGTGATACAATCATGTCGGATTGTCCAGTCCTGTCAGTCCTCCTCAAGACACATTTTACCCCTAATTCAAAGGGAAGCTAACTTTGGCTAACGACCAACAGCTGAAAAATGTCGAGACGCGCTAACTTGATAACCTTCATTCCCGCCCTCCCGCGCCGTCTGTTCCACTCCTCACTCCCACCAACTCCTCACCATGTGGCGCTCCTATCCTGGGTATCATTGCTTTTTTCGACCGTACCTACTTCTCCACCTTTGCCTCCTCTTCAATCAACACCACCAACAATTCGCAGCACTAGCTTCCAACAGCCCTTCCAAGTTCCGAGTATCGACAGCAGCAATGGCGGATGCCCCTACTCCGTATTCGAGATCCTTGCAGCCACGCGCGTCCCCTATGCCGTCTTCACTGACTAGACAGACCCTTGGCTCGGCCCTGCCTTTTCAATTCACGGGGAACGATATCACCAGATGAGGTCCACTTCTGGATTGTGTCTTCATTTCCCTTTTCCCTTTGCAAAACCACATCAACTTCAAACCCCCCTCTTGAAAAGGTTTGTCTGCGAGCCGAAAAACGGATTGGGCTGATACGACGATCGGTAGTTGCCCATCTCTGTACTGTCGCCCATCTTCCCGTCCGAAAAGTCGCAGGGCGCTACCTTGATATCGCCGCGCATGATTTCCACCATGGACACAAGGGGGAAAAGCAGCACGAGGAGCGACAGCAGCTGACCGAAACTCCAACCTCTCTCGCCCTGATCGCTCAGCTCGTACGAAGGGCCATTGCCAAAGGCATCAGAAGCAATGATGCATCGAACCGCGGCGCCAACAGCCGACGCTGCCATAAGAAGGATGCCGATAATCTTGATAATGTTGATGAACTTTTGCGTCCGCAGGTGGAGGTACCAACTTGCCAGAGCAAAGACGAGAGCGTTGGCGATGATGACGACAACTGTGCCGACATAGCTGATCCCTTGATGGTTTCCTTTCCCCTCGTCGCCGACCACCCACACGCAGGCGACGGGCAGTTTGGATTCCTGCATACCCTTTGATACGCCTTGCAGGATAAAGACGCCATACACGACGTTCAGCGTCAGATTGACAAACATGAGAAATTGGCGGAGCCATCGCAATACCCAATCACGGCGGAAGTCGTGGACCAGAGCGAGAAGTGTCGCGTTGTGGACGGCCATGGAGAGGTTCGAGAGCATCCAAATGATGAAGAAGTGATAGGGAACCATGACGTTGATCCTGGCGAGCCCGACACAAGCGATACCGATTCCCTGGAGGATTTGCTGATCTGAATAACTGTTGAGAAGTTTCCGACGAATGTTTGACGGGTTTCCCTTCATCTCTTGGAAGATGATGGAAGAACTGATGATGAGAGCGAGGCCGGCTGTGATGATGAAGGAGAGGAGCACGCCTCGGCCGGCCACGCCGGCATCGCTAGTGACCGGGGCATTCTCTGCGACGGTGCAATTCGGACTGTCAAAGACGGACATTTCGGTGGTGGAATCGAAGTAATTCGTCGGATCTGTCGTCTTTTTCGAGAGGAGATGTGGAGTTGGTGATACTGGATCGGGGAGGGGGGTCTCGAGGGATAAGGTAAGGCTGAATGAGTGAAGCCGCCACGCGAATATCGGCCGTGGTCAGTGTCGACTACCCAGTCGGTCAAGATGGCGATTTGATCTGTTTTGACAGTTCGACGCGAACCAAATTCAAAAATTTGCAGATCAGGTCCTGATGGGAAAGTCTGACTGCATATATGCGCAGGATGAGCCAGAGGAACTTCGCCCTCCTCCTTTTTTTCTTCTCTTCTCCCAATGGAAATGACGTACGACTAAGCGCTGCCCCTGTCGTCTGAAACGGCCCTCCGCTGGGGAAGACCCTTGAAGCCGATGGACAAGTGGCTCTCAGCGTCCGCCGCCATCTTTCGGGGCAGCGTTGGTCGCTGTGGCTGTGCCCCACACCTTGGACCCCCGGCCCCGGGAAAGAGGGCGCCAACGCCCTGCAGATCGCCCCGCGATATTCGGCTACTATCTGCTGCATGTCCCCCATGGAGCTGAGCTAGGCGATTCAACCCAACTGTTTGATCCATTTCGTCTTCAATGCTGATTATGAGCTTGAAGTAAGTGAGTAGTGTATCTATTCTAGAGCGAATAGCTTGGAAATGCTCAGACTTGATCCTTCTCAACTGCCAATCTGGAGCGAACCCTTCCAACTAAACCATCGGCCGTGATGAAGACCAAGTGCTTATTGGTCAAGAGCCCCCTGATAAATGGGGACCAACTCCTGGGTGATAAAATCCGTTTGCTAAGACGGAAGCTACCACAGTACTACGTAAGCGGAGGAAGTTCAAGGTCTAACAGGATTGTCACTCGTCGACACCTATCCTGAACTAAGGTAGTCAACTGCTTTTCCAGTCGTTGCCCTCACTCTTCACATCAACATCCCGTGCTCCGTACAGGTACAGGCATCGCAAATGTACCGAGCCGTTACTAAAGCCTTTGGCCCTGCAAAAGATGTAGTCCAAATCGAGGAGTACACGCCCTCACCCCCGGGCCCGGGACAAGTCCGCGTCCGCATGCTCCTCGCGAGTATCAACCCCTCGGACCTGGTGACAATTTCAGGTGCTTACGCCTCAAGAACGACGCTCCCCCACGTCCCTGGCTTCGAGGGCGTCGGCGTTGTAGAGTCTCTCGGCGAGGGGGTGAGTACCAACGACCTGAAGCTGGGCCAGCGCGTGTTGCCGCTTGGAGGTGCCGGAGCGTGGCAGGCGATGAGGGTCGTTGAAGCAAAGTGGTGCTTTGCGGTGCCGGCGGATTTGGGGGATGAGGAGGCTGCCATGGCGTACATCAACCCGCTTACGGCGTCGAGGATGGTGAGGGAGTATGCCCCGCCGCCAGAGGGTTCGAGTTCACAGACGGGAGGAGCGGTTCTCGTGAATGCTGCTCTGTCCGCTATTGGGCGCATGATTATCCGGTTGCTAAATGCAAGGGGCATCAAACCCATTGCCCTCGTGAGGCGACCTGAGTCAAAGGAGCACTTATCGCATCTGCCGGAGCTGGATGTGTCTGCCGTGGTATGCTCATCTGGCGACGGCTTACGAGAAAGACTACTCCAGTCCACTGGAGGACGGGGGATTTCCGTGGCATACGATGCCGTAGGCGGATCCGAGGGCGATGAGGTTGTGCGGGCTCTCACGCCGGATGGGATACTCGTTCACTATGGGTTGCTGTCTGGACAGCCGCTGTCGTTCCGGTTACGGGAGGAGTGTCCTAGGGCCCGGATTGTCATGTATCGACTTCGGGATTGGGTTTATGCCGTTGAGAGGGAGGAAGTGCAGGCCGCGCTGGACCAGGTTTTCCAACGTATTCGGGAGGGGGCTTTGACGTCGAGGGTTGCGGCGAGGTTTGGGCTCTTGGAGATTCATCGGGCGTTGGAGGTTGAGGCGGGGATGGGGAG